ACCTGCTCAGGTGAGATGGGACACCTGCTCAGGTTGGATGGGACACCTGTTCAGGTGAGCCAGGGTACCTGCTCAGGTGAGCCGGGACATCTGCTCAGGTGAGCCATGGTACCTGCTCAGGTGGGATGGGACACCTGCTCAGGTGAGATGGGACACCTGCTCAGGTGAGCTGGGACACCTGATCAGGTGAGCCATGGTACCTGCTCAGGTGAGCCTGGGTACCTGCTCAGGTGAGCTGGGACACCTGCTCAGGTGAGCCATGGTACCTGCTCAGGTGAGCCTGGGTACCTGCTCAGGTGAGATGGGACACCTGTTCAGGTGAGCTGGGACACCTGCTCAGGTGAGCCATGGTACCTGCTCAGGGGAGCCTGGGTACCTGCTCAGGTGAGCCAGGTGGCTCCTGGGCAGCTCCATGTCCCACAGTGTCACCATCACCATCAGGGCGGTACCGCCGGCCACGTGTCGTGGCTCGGGTGCCGCGCGCACCTGCGCTCAGGTGTCGCCGCACCTCCCCATCCCCCAGGGCGTCGTCGGCGCGGGCGGGGCGGCTGGAGGCGGCCGTGGCCACGTACCGGGGCCGGGCGGCGGCGGCGGGCGAGCTGCGGCGCTGGGCGCGGGCGCTGGAGGAGCGCCACGCCGCCCAGGTGCGCCGCGCCGCGCACCTGCAGCAGCAGCTGGGCCGCGCCCAGGCGGGCTGCGCGCAGCTGGAGGCCGCCCGCAGGCAGGTGAGCGGCACAGGTGGTTGCGGCGGCGGCGGCGGCGGCGGTGCCGTGCCCGGGGCGCTGACGGCGTCGCGGCGCAGGTGGAGGAGCTGAGCGGGCAGCAGGCGGAGGCGGCGCTGAGGGCCGAGAAGTGGCACCTGGAGCTGCGGCACCTGCAGGAGCGATTCGAGGCCCTGAGCCAGGAGAAGGAGGTGGGCGAGGCTCGGGGACGCACCTGGGGCACACCTGGATGCACAGCTGTGCCGCCCCTGAGCCCGGCGTGCCCCCGCAGCGGCTGCTGGAGGAGCGGGACGCGCTGCGCGAGGCCAACGAGGAGCTGCGCTGCGCTCAGGTGCAGCAGAGCTGCCTGAGCCGGGCAGGTGCGTGCCCAGGGGCACAGACCCCCTGCCCTGGGGGGTGGCAGCACACCTGGGGGGTGACAGCACACCTGGGAGGTGACAGCACACCTGGGCAGGAGGGGACACGCTCCTGAGCAAGCACCATCCTCGTACGAGGCGCCGGAGTGCCCCCGCTTCGGGCTGCAGCAGGTTTTTGGGGTGGGCAGGGCGCAATTTTGGGGTGTCACCTGCTGTCCCCCTGCCCAAAATCCATCTTTTACCCCCCACTCCAGGTGCAGGGCTGGAGGGGGGCGCAGCCCCTCCCCGGAATTTGGCGGCTGAGATCCTTCCCGCGGAGCTCAGGTGGGTCCGGGGAGGGGTCCAAAAACACGGGCAGGGTTTGGGGGTGTCCCCCCAGCTCGTCGTGAGCGCCCCGGTGTCCCCCCAGGGACACGGTGACGCGGCTGCGGCGCGAGAACCGGCGGCTGCGGCTGCAGCGGGACCAGCTCCGGCACAGGTGGGGGAGATGGGGGGTCTGGGGGTCCTCAAAAGACCCCTGAGACCCCCCCAAATCCATAACACCCCCCCAATGCACAGGCTGGAGGCCACAGAGGCAGCAGAGCCTCGGACAGCGCAGAGCAAGGTGAGTGGGGGGACCAGGGAGGTTTTGGGGGGGGTCCCCAGTTTCTTGTGGGGGTCTCGGTGTCTTGGGGAGGGTCTCGCTGTTTTGGGGGGGTCTCGGTGTTTTGGGGGGGGACACGTTTTATTAGGGGCACCTCAGTGCCACTGCTTCACCTCCTTCTCAATTCCCCCCAGCTGTTGCTGCTGGAGGAGACCCCCGAGGACCTGTGAGTTTTTGGGGGGTGGGGGGAATTTGGGGAGCCCTCCCAATGTCACCCAACCCGTGACCACCCCCTGCCCCACCAGGGATGAGCTGCCTGAGGGAGAGGAGGAGGAGGAAGAGCTGGAACTCTCCAGGGCTGGTATGAGGGGTTCTGGAGCGAGCATCATAATCTGGGGAGGGGTCTGGGTGTGGGGAGTCCTGGGGGGGAAATTTTGGGGTTCCTCAGGTTGGGGGTTGTATAGGGATCCTGGGGGGTGAAGTCCGGAGGGAGGGGGCAGGAGATGAACTCTGCCTCAGTTTCCCCCATGCAGATTTGAGGGGGTTTGGGGGTCCTTCCTGGCTAACCTCCCTCTTTGTCCCCGCCGCGGGATCAGGATTTAGAGGTTCCACGAGGTCGCCCCCCCAAAAACTCTCAGCATCCCCTGGGGACCCCCCCTTGGCCCCCGTCCTGCAGCTCCTCCGCAGCCAGCTGCAGGAGAAGGACGCGCTGATCCAGCACCTGGAGGTGAGGGTTTAAACCTGGCCGTGGGATCCCCGGGGGTCTCCATCCCCAGCTGAACCCCCCGCCATGAACCATCAACACCCCCAGAACGACTGGGAGCGCAGCCGGGCGCAGCGGGAGCGCGAGGAGCGGCTGCTGGTCACCGCCTGGTACAACATGGTGAGCGCGGGGACCATGGAGAGCCCCGGGGAGCGCCCGGCGCCCCGGTTTAACCCCACCGCGGTGTCCCCGCAGGGGCTGGCGCTGCGGCAGCACGAGGGCGGCGCGGCGGCGCGCGGCGGCCACGGCGGGGCTCGCTCCTTCCTCGCCCAGCAGCGCCTGGCCACCGCGGCGCGGCGGGCGCGAGCCCCCCACGGCCGGGCTGCCTCCAGCTGAGGAGGGGTCCCCAAAAAACCGCCCAGACCCCGCTAGCGCGGGGCTGGTTTCACACACTACACACCCTCGTTTTTGGGGGAGCCTGGATTTTGCCCCCGGACTTCTCGGGTGGGGGGTTTTTAGCACTTCTATTTTTGTAGCCTATTTTCTGGGGGAGGTCTCGTGTGTGTGAGACCCCCGTAAAATCTTCTAATAAAGCCTCAGGACTCAGCGCTGGAGATTGGTTATGGGGGGGATATTGGGGGGCTTGTACGGGGCTGAGCTGTGGGTGGGATGGTTTTGGGCGTCTTAAACCGTGGGGTCGGTGCTGGGGTGAGGCAGAGGTGGGTGGGGGTGAGCACCTGGAAAATTACTTTGTTTGTAATTTTCCCCTCACGTTTCCCACCTTTTTCCCCCCTCACATTTCCCTCTCTTTCCCCCTCACGTTTCCCGC